TTTTGCAGCCGCCCGCTTCCTCCCTCTGGGCACCGCCGGCAACACTGCAGCCCCGTGACACGCACGTCTCTCCTCTGAGCGAGCCTCAGGGCGGGGGCCATGTCACCCCTGTTGCCCACCCAGCCCCAGAGTGTAGCTGAATGGCTCCGCGGGGTCAGCTGGAAGCAAGTCCTGGCCCCACAGCCCATGGGCAGCGAGAGCAGCATGGTCCCAACACAAACCAGCCCCGTACCCGCTCAGCTGGACACTGCAGGGGGCTGCAGCATCTGCCCCACATCTCCCAGCACAGCTGGGGAAGGGCTCCCACCCCCCAACCCTTCCCAAACCTGCGCTGCGACGCCCATCCGTCCCCCGCCACGGCAGCGGGGCCTCAGGCAGGCTGCGGCCGGGCCAGTTCCATGCAAGCAGGTCAGACTCTGACCCCACGCGGGTGCAAAGTCCCAGTGCCCGGCCCTCCCAGCCCTGCTGCACACAGCTTCCGCATGGGGCCAGCCAGGGCAGGCATGCCCCGCGGCACAGCGTCAGCGGCACCGCTCCCCATCCATCCCCGTGCAGGATCCCACCACCCCACGGAGGCAGCAGCATGAGCCTTCTCGGCAGGGCGACCGCTCGACTCTGCTGCAGCAGAGCCCCGGGGATGTGACAGCACATGGGGGCTCTGGTCGGGAGAGCCCCCAGTTTATCCCCAGCAGCTGGGAGAAGAGACAGAGCAGCCGCGCCGCCTTCTCCGCACCCTCAAACCAGGGGGCGAGTGGACTTCTTCCCCTCCTCGCCCCATCCGAATGCAGACAAGCAGCTCGCTGGAGTCCCGCTCCCCTCGCCAGGATCTCACGCACGCCCAGCTGAGCGCGTGTGCATGGCACAGACGTTTTCCCCTTGCAAGGTCTCCTTTCAGGCCGGCATTCCTCCAGCCTTTGGTTTTACATAAAACAAACACTCCCGGCGAGCTCCCCAGCTGAGCCAGGCAACCATGCTGCTGATTTAGGCCATCTGGGGACTGTCCCTCCCTTGTATTTAGATTTCAGGGCCAAGTTCAGCATTTGTGAGATACTTTGCAAGCCTCGGCAAAGGGGCCACCGGGAGGTTGGAGCGTTACCGGCGCGCCGCGGCAGCCTCCCCGGCCAGCAGCTCTCCAACACCCCCCCACCCTCCACACAAGCCACCACGTCCCCCCTCAACGCTCTTGCCCACAAAGCCTTTTCACAGCGGCCAAAATCTCCCCGTCCCTTGAAACTTTGCTCCCAGCCCACCCCGAGAGGCGACAGCAGCGCAGCGGGACCCCGCTGCCCGCACAGCCCGGCTGCCGGCCCCGTCCTGCCCGGGGGGAGCGGGACACAGAGCCCTTTTCTCCTCCTCTTGCTCGGGGAGAGGAGAGCGGATCCTATGACATTCCCACTGCCGGTGCTTTCACAAAGGAAACCAGGCCAGGACGGCTTTGCTGCTGCCGCCGCCTCTCCAGCTACCTACCAGGGAAAGCCACTCTGTAACCCGAGAGATTTTGAAGGCAGGCAGGCAGGCTGCCGGTCCTGGGGCAGCAAGCCCAAAGCACTGCCAAGTCCCAGCAGGGCTTAGGGAAACGGGAGGGGAGGGGACGGGACCTGCAAGCGCAGGTCGAGGACAAGAGGGATAAAGTGAACTGACGGAGCACACACTGCTTCCCACCTGCCCTCTCAGCCCTTTGGGACCATGAGCTCAAAGGAGCGAGAGCCCCAGGTCCCAGGGGACACGATTTCCCCTGCGAATGGGTGTCTGCTTGCAAGACAGCGGGATTCTGCAGCCAGCATGGAGGGTGGGACAGCCCCACTGGGTGCAGAGCAAGCAGAGGGGACCGCGTGCCCTGATGATGCAGGCTTCCCGCAAGAACCCCCATCCTCCCCATCTCATCCCGCTCAGTACCAGTCATCCACAGGGTCCAGAGGGCACCAGCGACTTAAAGAAAGAAGCCAGTGCATGGGTGCGCACGGGGGGAAACGCCGAGTCCCGCCGCGCTCCCACACATCCTGTCCCCAGCTCGTCCCGCTCACGGGCTGGGAGAGCCAAACCCACGGAGGAGGAAAGCATCCTGGCAGGCCCGGCCGGCTCCAAACGAGCCTCCCCGGCTTTGCTGTGCAAAGCGCCCCAGGCAGCACCCTCCAGCCCAGAGATCAGAGGATGGTCTCCCCACCCTGCTCGGTGCTGGGGCCGCGCTGGACCAGTCGGGCCCCCCTGCGCTGCCCGGGGCCAGGGAGAACCCGCACGCCGGCTGCTCAGCCCCACTTTCTGGTGTGCTGCCCCCCAGGGATCCGGCTCAGGCGGCCCTTTGATGTTGCTGCCTGGCAGACAGCTGCTGGAGACAGGGCACAGATCACACCCTGCCACCGCCGGCCCCGGGGGGGGACCAGCCCGCTGTCACACCCTTGCATCGGGCTCCCTGGCGAGTCTTCCCAGGGCCTGGGGGCAGACGGTCCTGTTAGTGCGGGCAGCCCAGGCACCCCGGTGACCCCCTCCTCCCAGGCACGGGTGACAGGTCTGGTCCTGTCCCTGGCACCAGGACCCTGCTGCAGTTCAGCTGTGGGATGCGTGGAACAGCCCCGGCAGCGCCTCTGGAAGCAGAAAGGCAGCCGGCAGCGAGCATCAGAGCTGGGGCCAGCAAGACGGCTCGCCGGGGCAGGAGGCAAATCTTGGCTCTCGCCAGGGCTATCGGCAGGCCGATCAGAGCCAAGCCGGGGAACTCGCCACCCCAGTGCCGGCACACCAGTGCCAAAAGCAGAGCAGTGCTCCCTGAGGGACTGCCGACGACCGGGAGCTAGCCAGAGTTCAGCGAGGAGCTATTGGCAGGACACGCCAGAACACGCACAGGACCATAAATCCTCCTGCTACGGGGCCGCGAACCAGCCCGCGGCTCTCCAGGGCGAGGAGGGGACATTTCCGGGGGGAAAGGTTATCTCCTTGCTGGCCCCGGCTCCGTCTCTCACAACAACAGGGGCTGGCCAGGGTCCGACAGGATACCGGGGCTAAACAGACCTCCCGACCTCCGCCGGGCTCCAAATTCCTGCGGTTTCGCTGGGGTGGACGGGAAGTAAACAGGCAGGCTTC